CTTGTTTATTCACATAGGTAATTTAAAGGTGATTCTTTACTGCCTTGCGTCGCCGTTTCCTCATCCAACTTGTCACTGAGAGGAATTCATTCTCATTTAATTGAGTCTACTTACAGATTAGATAATTGCATCTAGTTTGAAATCCTAGACAAATTTGTCTGAAATGTAGCAGAGATAATCACAGCGGAACAGACTGCTGTTTTTTAACGGATTCAAAATTGATTGGTGCGTAATAAAAAAACGTTCGTAATTGCCCTTGAGAGACGAATTGAATTCTTATCATTTATCATACTTTGCAATGGTGGTCTGGAACCTTGAATTCTGTACTGGTGCCACAAGTCTATATATCAACTCGCATTTAGTTTTAACAAAACTTAATTAAGCTACAGCTGTATTGTATTCATAGCATTTAATAATTCTGACAGCTGTCTTGAGTAAAAGAGAAATGAGATATTTCATTTCCTGCTGAACTTTAATGTTAAATCCTGAAAAATATTGTCATGAAAATAAGGAAGTGTTTTTAAGTATGTCCATTTTGGAGTTAATTATGCGATATTAATATACAGCTGGTGAATTGATTTGTTTTTTGTCCTCAATTTAAAGTAAATATTCACAAATTTCGCAAATCAGTGAAAATCTTAAGTGTAAGTTTCTTTTGCAAATTTTTTTTCCCACGAATGCCACAAAATGCTAAATCACGAAAATTGGACAGTGTACATACTGACAAATGATGGTACTATAAATGACTAATTTTCACTGGGTTTAAATTTCACTGATTTACCATTTTAGGCATATTCAGTGGGTTTTAAATTCACGGTTTTATCATTTAGATAATGTGTTCTATGCTAAATTTTACATATTCACTGGGTTTTAATTTAGCGCATTTTCCAGTCAGCGAAATAAGCAAAATTAAAACCCAGTGAATAATTAATCCCTTTACAGTACTGTAAATGCATTAATTATTCAGGATAGAAAAGTGACCCTCATCACTTTTTAATGTTAATAAACAATAGAGACTTAACCACCATGACAATGAGCACAATATAACATGTTGCATTGTTATGCAAATTTTAACCTGAACCCAACAGATATTATGGCAATTTTTAAATCCCCGCGGAAAAAAACAGATATAATTATTTTGTTATATATTAGTAGCTAAATCATTTAAATACAAAGAATTGTGTTTTTGAGATGCACAAATATGTAGTATACAGTCAGTGACGGTGATAGGGCGCAGATCTGTGATAATTTGAAATATTATTCAATAGATTTTAATGATTTCGTTGCTAGATCATCCAATCTGAATTGAATCTATAAAAATACTGGTATGTAAAGATACAAGATAAAGAACTTGTTGATCCACTATGAAAATATGCAAATATGTGAACTAATCCCAGTAAACGTAAGAGCATCATGGGTAGTGAAATGAAATGACGCTGAAAGTTAATGTGACAGTAATTTGAAAGAATTACATGTATGTAATACAAAATTGTCTTCAATATTTTTATCCTTTGTTTTTCCCGGCTAAAATTGTTTTTGTACATTTTGCTCATTTTTGTGTATTTTTCAAAAATGTCTGCATTACGTTTGGACCAAATGAACATATTTCCAGTTGGTTATTGGTTTTGATTAACATTATTGGAAAACTTCCGAAAAAATCTGAAGGATTTATGCTGTAATTACAAAAATTGATTTTTGAGTTGAAAGGTCAAACAGTCCCACACTTTGTTGAGTTCGATACAAGTCCCATGCGACATATCCAATATGTTAAAATACAAAATGAAAACTTGCATTGCTTGGCACTTATTGTTTTAACCTTTTCACCACCAGACTTTCTCGCCTAAATTTTTCTGCACTTTTTTCTTATATTCTTAAATATTTCTTGAACTGAACCCTAATTTTAGAGTTAACGAACAAAATTTGAGACAATTTTCAATTTTTACTAAAAAAAATTGTCTATTTTTGTTCCAATCTTTGGAAGGAAAATGCAGACTATAAATGAGACTATTTTGTGAATTTGTGATGAAAAGAGGGAACTAGTGGTGAAAAGGTTAATAAGGAAAAATTTCATTTCATTTTGGAAGGTTCGTGCATTTTCATTGTACTGTATCCCTGATTTACAATGTTGCAAAGTTACTCACAAGTAGGTCAATTTAGGATTTGTGTGTTTTGATTAAACTATGAATACATTTAGTCATACAAGCACTATGGTCCAACGAGACCAGTCTTGCATGAACTAAGTTATAGGAAATTCATTAAAGTTAATTCGTGTTTGAATGTTTTATTTAAAATTTAAGTTATTTTCTCATGATGGTGTAAATGATAAATTTTCTTCTTTTAAATAATGCGGGGGGTTGGGGGTGGGGGTGATTTAGCTGAAGAATTTTTAGGGGAAAACACATTCTGTGTATGTGTGAAGTGAAAAAATCAAACAATGACTGCATACCCCCGAGGTAAATAAATGAATTGAGGGGAATATTAAAATTAATTGTCATCAGTTTGCAAAAACAAACTCCCCAGTCAAGAGCTGAACCTGATGTTTCAAAGTCATCATACCTTGCATGTACGTTAATCTGTGAGTCCCAGACAACCCTCACCAACTTCTTTTGGTTGAATATTTGAATGGTTTAAAAAAAAATTTAAAAATAAATAACAGATACATGTGCATGTATGAAAAAATAATAATTCAAGTCAAATTATTTAAAACTGAGAAAGAAAGAAAAAAGTGTCCTAAACTAGGATCATATTTTGATCAGATTATTATGCTTAGTTATGCTACTGGGTTCTGTTGAAAACAAATTCGAAAGATAAAAATAAAAGCAATCAGATATGCTATTTAATACATCATGTAACTTGAATTTCTAAGAGAGCAAATACAGAGATATTAATATCACACAAGGGTGTAATTAATACATATTTTATGAGACAGCATTGACCTGTTGACCTCTCTGAACACATACCAGGGATATATAATTAAGAAATGATCGTTATTAATAGTCCCAGTGTCTTGTCTTACATTGTATCTATTAATGATATGTTAGATATGTTGTTAATTTTTAAAGAGATTTTTAATGTAGCAGTCCTTTGTGTGTTTGTTTTCCAGTTTTCATAACTCAAAAGTATTTGTTTTTTCCCATAACAAATGTGTGTTTCTGATAACACGCACTTAAAAATATTTTAGTTACAAGTAGGTATGGAATTTTTGTAAGAAATCCAATTATGCTTCTTTCAATTTTTGATAAGTAGGTTGTCTACACGCCTTGCAATATGGCAACCGTTGCCATGCATGTCTTTATTGAATTACGTCATCAGTCCTCCATCACCTTTCCATTTCCTCTTTTCCCTCTTATCAGCTACAAAATTCAGGACTGGAGTTAAACGTGTATGTCTAGTTGTCAGAATGATACACTTTTTTTGCATAGATTGATAATGTATACATGTAATCTCTGATTTTACAGACACAGGGACACAGGGAGGGACCTCTCTTTTTCTGATTTTCGACATTCAGCAAAAATTTTCAAAGTTCATTCAAGGTGCTTATTTATTAACCAGATCAGGTCAATTCACCATTAACTACGGAGTTAATATTATGCATTTTAAAACTGCCATTAGCCAATTTATTTTCGCATGAGAGGCAAATTTTTTGTATCACGAAAAGCTTTAACACAGCGCAT